TATTTACATGGTAGTGTAAAGGACATTGAAACAATTTCAGGATAAGGAATAAAAATGATGTAACATTAGCGAAAAGTGAATAAAGTTTATTATCAATATCATGAAATAACAAATTATGCATCAAACCATGAGTAAAATTTCATGTTTTATCATAAAATTCTATGAACGCAGTAACCAGTTAAGACAATGAAATTATTTCATGTTGTATTATAAAATTTTATGAACTCAGTAAACAGTTAAGACAATGAAACTATTTCATGTTGTATTATAAAATTTTATGAACTCAGTAAACAAAGAAAAAATTTCGTTATCTAAATGTAACGGATCTATCTACCAGTATAATGAAAATTACGAAATACGATCAGTATTACGTTGATTAGTTTGTTGATGAAATTTTGAAACCAATTTCGTTCATATAATGTAATTCAAATTTTGAAACGATTCATTATATAGAATTGAATATCGTGTGTTTTATTTATTTTTTTGATATATTTTATTGATGGATGTTATTTAAACATAAAAATAATATATTGCTTTACAAAATAAAATAGTTTCATTTATAATATGATATGAAGGATGTTGTTGCCTTGAATATAATGTATTTTTGTTTACCATTTTGTCCTTATTGCTGATATAAAATAAAATTTTAATATATTTATTTTTTTAATTTCCTAAAATAAAGTAAACTAATCTTGACCATGATCAAAAAAATAAATGAATGAGATTGGTTTACACGGTTTACACAAATGGAACGCTCCTATATATATATATATATATATATATATATATATATATATATTCTACTTGAGCATCCAAATCTGGGTCAATCCCAGCAAAAACATCTCTAAACAAGGTTCGAGTGGTATTTCTATTCAAAAAAAATAAGAATTGGGTACTGGTGTTAAAGATTATAAATTGACTTATTATACTCCTGACTATGAAACCAAAGGATGATTCATCGGATCGTCTTATTCCTATTTTGGTATTTTTCATTTCGGGAGTTAAGATCTCTTGTTCTTATTATAAGTTGATTTGCTTTATAAAAAGAAGATCCCTGTCATCAGGTCACCAATTTCCTTGACCTAGTGAATTTCGATGGGAGCTCCTCGATGTATTGGTGATGAGTATATAACGCAGCTTGACTGGATTGATGATAAAATAGAATCCTGGGTTGCAAACAGTGATTCAATTGATGATGTATATATATATATATATATATATATAATTATAATGACTTGTAAAAATCAATACAAAATGGAACACGGGTTTTGAAGCCGCTGGTACTGCCACAGTGCCACTCATTTGTCATTCAACAGTTTGGTTTGAGCGGCGGAAAATACGAAGACTTTTTCAAAGGAAAATAAATAAATATCCTATAAATCATGTTCTTAGAAATTATTAAATTAAAATGAAAATTAAAATGAAAATTAAAAATCTTTAAAAAAAATTACATTCTACTTTAAAAGTCCATCTACTTTTAAAAATTATATTATTAAATTATTTTATCTATACTATATTATAAAGCATTTGGCTAAAACTCTTAAAAACTCTTAAACTCTTAAAAACTCTTAAAACTCTTAAAAACTCTTAAACCCGTTCATCCCTATCCGATTTCATCCCATATCTGAATTCGTGTAACTAACTGCAGATAAACACAATCAAATACAGGATAAACATCTTATTTTAAATATAAAAAATCT